TGTTGCAGATTTTACCCAATTTAGCTTCATATTCACACATTAATCAACATTATCTTTTATAATCTTTCAAATGCAGATCCTAGCCTCTAAATAACACTTCTACTTGGAATAAACTCGTAATTAGAAGCATACCTTTGATAATTARCACATAATCTTCAAGAATCTAACATGGATCTTCGAGGAATGAAGGATTAGTCTTAAGTGTGTRTAAATCGCACCTTGAGTGTGAGAGTTCTAGAGGTGAGAAAATATGACTGATTTAAAGAGCTAGGCATGGTTTTGACCTGTTTTGGTCAACAAGTCAACCTAGTTTGCCATAGTTGACAGTTTTAGTCCYTCATGCGTAACTTGGTCGTTTCAACTCCGTTTCGCACGAAACTTTCCAGATCTCATAATTGATATATAAGAGGCTTAAATATAAAATTCCAGCCTCTAACTCGATCCARAAGTCCATATTCCATTCTAACTTAAGTAAGTACTAATCCATAAAATACTATACTAGATTAATTAAACATGCTTAGCAACTTAAATGGGCTTTTAGTAAATTGGATGTTACAATATATGCAATTAGTTCTTTCATTTACATGTTAGTTGTTGCTGTATTTATATTGATGGTTTCCACTTGCTTTTCTGAACAATCAATGTTGGAACACCATTATATTTACTTTTAGCATCAACATTACATTATCCCCTTCTAAATCATTTATAAAAATTCTGATTAATTTCAGTTTTCTTTTGTCATATGTGCTTTGCTAAGGATACGTTTAAATGAGTTTGTAGTTAGAAAAATTCTGATTAAATGATACGTTTAATCAGAAAAAACTCTGATTAATTTCATTTTATGAAGTAGGAAAAAGCATCATCTCATTAACTCTGTTGTTCCCTCCAATGATTTTTATGCATTTACAGCTTACAAGCTTCCAATGGGGAGTAAACCCAAGGCCTAAACAGTTGAGCAACCCTCAAGGGCAATTAGCTTTTATAAATTATTCGGTTTCAAATTGAAACCGAAAACTAAGCTTTTAAATTGAATTCAGTTTGGTTCAGTTATGAAGTCTGATAGTTTTGACCTACRAAACTGTTTTCAATGGGTAGGAATGGAAAGGGGGCCAAGAGAGAACTAAAAAAGAGAGCAGCCAAACCCATGTATCTATCGTACTCTAAYGGTTGTGAATAATATGAACCGTTGCACTAATTTATTCGAATCTGGACCATCTATTTTTTTAATTCAGGGTACTACCTTGATTCTTCCTTTTCATGGTACGCATAAAAGATACTTGCGTAGAACCAATTTTACGTATGAATCAAGGTCCGAGTCAAGCTTGTAGACCTTGTTAGTTTGGTCTTCACCTATTTCTAACGCTTATAACTCGCAAATTTTGCGATAACTGTCTTTATTGTTTTTAAGTTGTTAGTTATTGATTTTTTTTACATAATTCTTCGTCTCTAAAGGACATGGTCATTTTGTCGTCGAAAAACGTTCCTTCGAGGATCAATAGGTACATTTATTGATCACTATGACTTTATTTCATAAAAACAACTATTCTACTCTTTCAAATAGAGGTCAAGTCTACATACATCAATATACTGGTTCGTTTGGTTTGAACCAAAAAATTTCCTTTCGGCCCTAACGTAAATTTCATTTGGATCGTAGATGTTTAGAAGGAGCAGAAGAATTTTTCTTGAAACCGGTAAGATTATCGGATGTAAATAAATTGAAACCCCATATGATGCGAATGAAAATAAAAGTAACCAATCATCAAGAACAGAATCAAGAACATCAAGAATTGGAAACCCGAGATAAAGAAGAAGAAGAAATTGAATCACAACAACAATCAAATGGGAACAAAAGAAAATCCATGGAAGAAGATCTTACAAGACAAAACAAAACCCGCCATACTTTAGATTTGACTAATTTTGACTTTTTCTTTTCTTTTCCTTCCAATTTTATTGTCTGGATTTTACTTTTTTTTTCTTGACCTAATATTTTTTTACATATGAGTTGCAAAAATGGTTGTAAAGAGCAAGAGCAATGAGAGAAAGCATTTCAATCAAGATTTATACATAGTTTTACTTAACAAAAAAACATGTAACATCATCAATTCAAGTGAACTGGTTGGTTCGTTTTGTTTTTTGATTAATCTGGATATCAAACTCATTATATGAGCCGACTAATCAAGGGGGACGACCCGCTTCTCGAGTAGTCCGGAGTCACCACATTTGAACCTCCATGGTCACAAGAGAATTTTTATTCCTCCTTGGATTCAATCCTTAACCTCGGTCAGATTAAGAGAAAGATGAATGACATTATGTAATTTCTAGAAGACATTTCCGACAGGGTATAATTAAATATAAGAATCAATTAATATCCATCGGAAATTTTAATTAATTAACGCAAATTAGTTTATTTCAATAAATTAGACCAATTTTGTGACGGATTTCGGACATATTTGTGACCGTATTAAATAAGTAAAAAAATCCGTTACAAATCCATCGATAAACCGTCGGGAAAGTTGTAGAAATAAAATTTTATTTAAAAAAAAATCAGTCCGGATTCGTAGGGGATTTGTGTTGGACATCGACAAAATTTGACTTTTCTTGACTATCCAAAGCTCTGAAGTCTGAAGAGTTTTACTTTAGAGTTATTTCAAGAGTACAAGTCCAAGTCTGAAGTCATCATTCAGAGTTATTTCAAGAGTACAAGTCTGAAGAGTCGTTCTAAAATTATTTCTAAGTTTAAATTCAATTTACTGGTATAATTTTATTTCTAAATTTAATTTTATTCTAGGGTTTAACTTCATTTTAACTAATTATTGATATAGTTTCATTTCTAAATTCAATTATTCAAAGTTATTCTTCAGAGTTATTTCAAAAGTACAAGTTTGAAGTAACATCGTACTTTTGATGATCATTTATATTTGTAAGATAAGTTCCTGACATGATTTTTTTTTTTCAAATTACCATGTGTAACACACGAATCGAACCTGGTAAATATATATATATATATATATATATATATATAATGGGTTGGTTTCAATAAGAAAATAAGTTATGGTGAAAAGATGTAAAAAAACAATCTCTATCTTTGGGTCAATCCAATTGAATAATAACACTAATAAGATGTACCGAGATCAATTCTCTTTTAAAGCGTAATTCATGGATAAACATGAGATTGAAAATGATCAAGAATTCAAATATCTTCTTACATTACTCACTATAACTTCTCTTTTTACATGATTATTCGCTTATATACAGTAGCGTAAATGATGTGAATATTATATATATTATCCACCAACTTTTAAACCGAAATCAGAAACATAATAATAATTCATTAAAATCTTTAAAATATTAGGATTTCATTTTTTTTTAGTTACAATTTATTTGTAAATTTTTTAGTTAATTCGTTTAAAAAAAATTGAAATGGGAATAAAGTAAACTACAAATTTGGTTCTTTGGTTTGTCAAAATAAATAACACTTTTTTGTCTTTATGATTTCAAAATTACAAGATGACAATTATGGTTTGCAAAAATTTTTAGATTTTGTCATTCCCTAACGGCTGTTAAAAATTATTGTTAAACGAGTAGCATTTTTGTCCAATAATCACTTTTAATCTCATAACCATTTATTTATTAGTACGAATAACTCGGTTTTGATCAGTGGTACTCAGCAATAGTTACACAGTTCAGAGTTAGAAAAGTCTTTAAGAATTATAGTCAATATTTAAAAGAATATTTAACATAAGTGTTTGAGTAAAATTTCACCAAAATCTACACCGCTCGTAACATCAAAACCAAAGACCTCGTTGCCATTAAAGTCATTGACAAGGAGAAAATCATGAAATAGTAAAAACTGACTTTTTCTTAAGATAATAACAAAAAAACACCTTAAAAACAGAAGATAATAAAATCTATGATAGATTGTAGTTGTGGCTATCACGATCAAAATAGCATCACCTTTGGTGGCTGTATGTATAAAAACAAAACATATACAGACAATCCTACATATTAGTAGAGTCTAATGATAGATAACGAAAAAACCCCAAAAAAGATGTACATAGATTTTTTTCTACCCTAAAGGATAGATAACAAAAAAAGCCCAATCTGAACCTCCATAATCACAAAATTGCTACGAAACTTCTCAATAATCATAAAATTGTCACCGTGCAACTTTAGACCATTAGATCATTAACTTATAAAGTTGATCAATGAACATGAATTTGTCTTACGGATCTCATGAAAAACCTTTGGTCTCTATGTATATTAAATAGAAATAATTTTACAATTAATTTTCAATCAAATACATTTAGAAAGTTATAAAAACATTTAAAAATAAATCTAAAAAACATTTTTTTTAACTTAAAAGGATGGATAGTGAAAAATATATAAAAAATTATACTGTATTTATTGTTTTTAATTTAAGAAACAAAAATATAAATAAATAAAACAATTTATTGTTAAACCGACTCAAAAGTAAGCATTGGTTTTTGGAATGTGAATTTGAAAAAATAAAGGCAGAATTTATAATTTAAAAAAAATAGAAAGAGAAGAAATAATGTCTTGTGGATGTTGGGTTTAAAACAAAGGCTCATCTCTTTGTTCTTCCTCATTTCTAACACCTGGTCATTCGAGATAGAGAGAGAAAGAGAAAGGGTTTGAAGGAGAGCGTAGAAGGAGAGCATTTTCGATTTGGGGATCTGGTAATTCTTCTTTCTTTTTACAGGTTTTAATTCAGATGTGCGTTCTTTCTTCGCTGATTCAGACACATTTTGATTTTTGAACTAGATCTCGTATTTAATCCACAATTATGTGGTGTTTCTTGTTCTTCATTCACGACATTCTGGTTTTTGATCTAGATCTGGTATTTAATTCACAATTGCGTGGTCTTTCTTGTTTTTAAGTCACGACTGTGTGTTCTTTCTTCTGATTCAGAAACATTTTGGATCTCGTATTCCGATTCCCTTGTGGGTTTTCATTATCTTTTAGGTTCCTGATTGTTTCATCTGAATTCGTATTCATTTTTCTCAGAATTGCTTCGTGTTTGTTTTTATGATTCATGGTTCAATATGAATGGAAACTCCATCGTTAATCATTTCAAACTTGTTCTTCCAATTTCTGTTGCTAATTTGTGTTTTAGGGTTTTTACAGATCCCCAAATCCAACCAAATATATGTCAAGTATCCAAACTATTTCTGTAAGTATTCTTTCTTATCCATCTTGCTTTCTATACTATTTTTTGATTCATCTGATCGAAATTAAGAATCAAAATCTTTTCTTATGC